TAACAATACAAAATGGGTCACTCCACTTTTTTTAGCTGTTCATCAATAAAGACGGTCCATCACCCTCTAAAAGTAGAAAATTACTACGAAAAGAAAAAAAAATGTTTCAATAAATAAAAGTCATAGTAAATCAAGCATGTATTTGAGATAACAAACAAACTTAGATTAAGCAGGTATCTGGTTTGTTTCAAGTCATTAATCAAGAAATCTAGTTTGTCACCTTTTAGAACCGGAATTTCTAGAAAACACCTTTGCTAGATCAAAAGACTTTAGGTTGCGTTTGGGAACTTTGATTTGGATTTGGGAAGTTGATTTAAAATCAAGGGATTTTAAATTTAGGATTTAAAATCCATGATTTAAAAAATCTTTTGTTTGGATATCTTTATTAAATGAAAGGATTTGAAATCTTTGATTTCAAAATCTAGTGTTTGGGTACTTTATTATACATGAATTTGAATTTAAAATTGATGAAAATTTATTCTCTTAACCCATCTTGTTTACATCAAATGCAATGGAGATGTGTAAAATAGTAACCAAAAAAACAAAAATTTATGTAATTTTGACGATGATAGTTACATTTGCTAAGTTTTCAAATTCATTGCCCACCATAACTTGCAAGAGTTTTAACAAAATAAAAATGAAGAAAACTCTACAAACATATCAAGTATCTTAAAAAAAACATCTAAATAATACATTACCATTGCATATTTCACAGATATCCAGGCTGAAAAATACTTGAGGTTTGTTTCATATTTCATACATATTTAAAGTGAGAATAAGTTGATATCAGAGCAAATAAGTAACAATTCTATTATCTTCTCAAATGCAGGTACAACTGACAATTACATAGTCAATTTGGTCTTTGATATACCAAGAGAAATGTTAATAAGAAAAAATACAAAGAGTTGCAAACTGAATAGTATGTGAGAAGAGAAGTATCCTTGATGTAAAGAAATTACAACTGAGGATTCAGAAGTGCTCGTATGATAAACCCTATCCGCAGCAACAAAAGAGTAATTCATATGCCATCACGATATGAGCCCAAAACCTACAAAGAAAATGAGCATATCAATAATTTGAAATAGGAACAAATAAAATTTTTAGTCTCACATGCAGCTATCAACTAATCCCACAGCCTCTTAACTACTCAATTGCAGTTCATTGTAGAAACAGCAACCCAAACATGATACTTTGCGAGGCCCCAGCAAACAGATAAAACACTTCATATATGACCGTACATGTCTCAAACAAAAACAATCTCCAAAGGACATGACATTGAGGAGGAGCAAAAACTAGTTCAACCATCGGCATGTAAGCTAAACGCTAGTAGTACTTGCTCTCAAAATCAACCATCCGCATTCCAGTTAAAGTTGGGCAACTTATAAAACTATCATCAATAATTCAAGCAAGGGAGAAACTGAAAGGCTTTGCGCTTCCGAAACTGATCCAGAGGAGGCTAAAATTCTAACTGAATGTACAAATGATGCTTGGAAGAATATTGAAAATAAAGAAATGGGTATTGATTCTAACTGCAAGACCTATATTATGCGTTGCAGGTTTTTCCAACACTGGGTAACATTTCGTAAAGGTGCGGCGGCAAGCATTACTCCTTGTTCAGTTGTCACTGATCAGCACAGTTTTAAGAACAATAACTTGACCAGCAGAATCTGAATGAGAACCAGCGAATAATAGTTTTTACCCGTATGCCAGAATGGCTGCATAGAAAAAAGTCGAACTCCGTGGGATGACAGATTTTCCTGACCACAACAGTTCCTATGCACAACAAGAACGCCTTAAGTTTTTGTGCTTTTAAAATATTTTTGATGGGAGGGGCATCATTCAGTTATCTCTATATTTAGATGGATTTTTCTTTTCCAGTTTTAACCAACGGGACAGGGTTTCCATGGAGTTTTCTTTTCCAGTTATAAGCTCATGTTCAATTGGTATGAGTAAGAAATGCATTTAGAAATGCATCATAATCAAGTATACACTAAATAAAAAGAATAGAATTCTCAATAAAATGAAAATTTTGCATTTAATTTCATAACAAAAGGAAAACAATGCTACCATCAGCTGGACCCTAGAATATCAATTCCAATACATGTACGTCATGGGAAAACAAAAACATCCAATACAAATATGGATCCATATTTTAAAAAAACTCCCTTTTCTTCTCAATAACAAATAACATGAAACTACTACTCCTCACTGACACCTGAAGAAAAATCTGGATATTACACAATGGCATTGACTGGACTAGCAATCCTGGGCCATAAATCAGCACACTCCTTTCCAATTGGTCCAGTAATTGTAGATCCTGAAGAAGCAGAAAACATCGATTGATATATATTAGATGAAGAAGCAAAAACAAATTTATGCATTACCGTAACTTTTATACAACATCCATTCACATGATTGGTGTGTTCTATTGAAATTGAGGACAACACATCCTATCAGTAACTAGCAGAGACTAAAAAGGAAAAGGTAAATGATACGTTCTAATACATGTTACAAGTGGTAGGGTAAGATGTTCTGAGTAGCATTGACATAAAAAGTCCAAATTTGGATTCAATTTTCTCATCTGAAGCTCAATTTGTGGAATGAAAAGGCTTTGAGTAGGCTTGCTAGTGTTATTGGAATTCCTCTTTGCACAGATGCGTTAACTGCTAACCATGAAAGGCTCTCTTTTGCTAGAGTCTGAGTTGAAGTACAGGCTGATTCTGAGCTTCCCGAGTCTGTATATTTCTACAGTCCAGGCGGCACAATGATACTAACTGTGTAAAAAAGGCTACTACTATGAAAATATGGATTCCTAAAAAAGCACCGAACAGAATGATGTTGCAGAGCCGAATGAAAATGATCAATGATAGATTGTTGAAGGTAACAAAAATAAAGGAAATGATACTGAGCTATCTCCTACGCCTAGTGTTCCAAATAAAATATAATTCTAAGCTACACAACAAGCATGATAAACCATGGACAAGAAGATCTATGCACGATCCGAGTAACAACGTGAACATGGAACTGCATGAATAAAAAAATCAACTTCCAATAACTGAATATATATTTACAGGACGAAAATTATGTTTCCAGAAGACTCTGTATCTTCACTTGATATACTGCTAGAGTCTTTATTCATCATATAGATTTGAGGATAATCATAGTAGGACGCAGGCACAAATTCGTTTCTTTTGGCAAGGAGGAGAAAGGAATCATCACAGAGTGAGAATGGAATCAATGGATCACTAGAAGACACACTAACAGTAGCACCTTCTTTTGCATCGAGGATAGTGCCTCTTAGAATCTACTACTATTACATTAGGGATGCATGAACCATGTTTCTGTTGGCATCCTGATTTTAGGACAAGTTAGTTCTGGTTCTAAATTATTTTTACTTCTTTCATGAATCCTGGTTTTGTTAAAATCTCAATACTGTATCTTCTGGAGATTAATTTCAGTCCATCAATTACCTTAAAATAATAATGCTGCAATAACATTGTCCTAGAAGATCAGTTCCTAGGAAATATTTCCTATTCGTTCATTTCTTATTTGCTTTTCTCACATAAAGAGCAGAAACTATATTGCTTGTATGTTACAAATACCCATATGTTCTAAAACTAGTTATGCACTACTTACGTGGTTACTAAATAATAGTAGTATGCCTTTCAAGGCATTGATTAATTAGGAGTTCACATGTGCTCCTCTCACTTAACAGTCTGCTAAAAAAGGTTGCTGGCAGGGGAGACTGCTGCCTGCAGTGCTTGTTCATTTCTTTAACAAAGGCACCCAACTGAATTTTTTTAAATCCCAACTATAGCAATTAGCATACCAGCTACTTATTTCTTCCCCAGTCTCCGAAGAATTTTTCATTCCTTTGATCGAATTGAAACAATACCGTCATCAATAATATAAATTAGATGAGAAAATAAGGATTAAATTCGACCTTATCGCGAACCCAACCGCCGACGACTCGAAGCTGAGTTCCCAACTCGAAGTGCTTCAAAACATCGAGCAAGCGCTTGAAATTCTCCTCTTTCTCAGTGAGATCGATCTTCTCCTTCACCGTCACCGGACCCGCCATAAGTCTACTTCTCTCGACGCCGGCGGCGCCGTCGCAATTGAAGCGAAGGAATCGAAACCCTAATCTGGGGGATTGGGGGGGGGGAGGAGGAGAGGAGGGGGGAATTTGAGGACGGGGGAACCCTAGATCTCGACGAGAGAGGAGAAGGGAAGAGAGGAGTCGGGATCGTGACTGAGAAATGTGAGAGAGGAGGAGTCGGGATCGGGATTTCATCCCCTCGGGATTTGATAAATAGCAAGGGTGAGGGTGGGATTTCAAATACGTCATTTGGGCTTTCAAAATCTCCTCATTAAAAATCATTGGATTTAAAATCTGAGGCTAATTTGAGACCCAAACAAGAGATTTGGATTTGAAATACCTTGGATTTTAAATCCAAGGCTCAAATCCAAGTTCCCAAACACAGCCTTAGTTAATTTCAAAACAAGCGCACAAATCTTTTTTTTAAAGTACCAAAAAAGACCACATAATTCCCAATTGAGGTTCAAATTTTGCCCGGACCGACTACGTTTCAAACTTAAAAACTCCTTAGCAGCTCAAAGAAATCGCAAACCGGTTTCTGTCCTACAGAAAATAAGAAGAAAGATGATAAAAGCTCCGGCTCCGCAGCGCATTGAGAATTTTCCTTTCTCCCACTCCTCTCATCCATTACTAATTACAGTAACTCATAAACCAAGAACAAGAATTCCACTCAAAAACTATTCCCAAAAAAATCGATGAAGAAATCAAATCCCAATGAAGTTGATAGATTGGAGGAGGTTCGAATAAAGTCCCACTTGGATACGGGCGACTTCGTCCTCCTTGACACAAGAACAAAGCAACTTCCTTAAATTTAGCATCGCACCTCATAACAATGGTTCACTAGAAATCAAAATCAAGAGTGCAACTTATGAGAAAACCATGAATTGAGGCAGAGTGCAACTTAGGAGAAAACCATGACCGCTCTTACAATTACAAGTCCTATCCCTTTGGCAAAGGGATAGGGGACTGGATCACAAATTCTTACTCACAAACTGGTTCATGTTTTGTGTTTCGAACAAAGGCGTCGTAGATTTTTAAAAACATTATTAACAACGCCCTCAATACAGATGGCTAATAGGAATATACAAGAAAATTCTGACAGATAGCAACATTTCCAATATAAGCAAGATTAGACCTGGGCCTAGACTCAAGCATCAATTTCAGCACTAAAGTGGATTAACCTCTGACAATGGTGAGGAAATAGAAGATTAAAAACCTAATTTAAGATGCTCAAGTTCATCTCATTTCCATTCTCAGGTCGCCAAATATAAAGCTTAATCTCTGATTATTCTCTAGTTGTTTTCATCCGTTCTGTTATAGCTCCATGGATAAATTAGACTTTTGCTGTGTGCTTTGCAGTCCTCTGGAGAGCCAGCTTATGTAATTTAGTGAGACCAACAAATTTCTCTTTACTTGAAAATAGGCATATCTGCATCTACAGAAGACCTCAGTTAGTTTCATAAAATTTTATCGACATCTTCTACATTTTATTTGCCAACCGAATGAATAAGCTGATTAAAGAGTGAAGTATACTCTTACGATTTAGCAGGCATTTACTTTATGAAAGGAAGACCTGAAGGAACACGCCGTGCATATTCAATATACTGGGGCCCAAAAAATTGCCTCAAGAAAAACTCTTCATATCTACTTCTAAGGTGAAGGATTAACAATTCTAAAGATGTGAATTGTTAAATAGTGCTAATAAGCTGTATGGAAATAAAAAAACACATCAGTTGAACTCAACAATAGATATAGAAACAGTTAATTCAGAGTATTTCAAGAAAAGGATACGGTATGCGACTAGAGAAGAATCTCCAAGTGACCGCAGCAAATGCAATAGTGCAGAGAGGGTTGCAGAGCATAACCTGGGTTCCAATTGCCCAGATGAAAAAGCCACAATAGCTTGGATGACGCATGTATCTGTTTGGTTGCATAAATAAAACGTTATAAATGTCAGCCACCTTAATTAGCAGCTTATGATAATAATGAAGAGGAAAGAAAAAATCTTATGCAACATCATATCGTATTAAAGAATATGTTTTCTTCCAGCCAAACTAGTAAGCATATTGTATGCTATGCATAAACAAGTTCTTGTTCTGACAGAGTTGAAATACGATAAATAAGCATGTACAAGTACAATCAAAGCTATAGAAATTCCACCTCTAAATAGAGCTAAAGCAAGTCATAGTAGCATTTACCAGATTAAGGAACATAAACATAAGCTTCCTTGATAGTAGTTTCCTCAAAGGTATCATTTTATTTGCCTCGTGTTTCAAAGAAACGGACATTTATGGCCAAGATAGTTAACAAACCATTTCAAGGAGCCAGAGCTACAATCTTTTCACAGAAACCACCTCATCGATACTTGAGTTCTTATAGCAGAGCATATCTACATTCACACCCCCAGCTTGCAGAAGATCAATAAATTACATAGGTAGTAATTGTGGTCACCCAGGAACATCAATTCCAAATATTAGTGCAATTAGCTTGTAATTGATACTGGTGTATCTTCTTTTCGCTTCGGGAGTTTAGCGATCCTCATGGGAGTTTAAGGATAGGTGATTTCCATGGTAGCTTGAGAATAGAGGTGTGTGTGGAGTCGTCAAAGGCGGCAAAAGCAGGAAAACGACGAAATCAGGAATCTGGCGACAAGTCTTTGGCCGGTCGACTGAACACTCAGCACCGGTCGACCGGATTAGTGCACACTACAGGACGAGAAACGTATTCTCTGGTCAGTCGACCGAGACACACTTGTCGGTCGACCGATAGTGGGAGACTGGTCGACCGGTATTGGTACATCGGTCGACCGGTATTGGTACATCGGTCGACCAAATCAGTTTCCTGGGCCGAGTTGGACTTTGTTTTGAGATGAATCTTGATTGGGTTTTGACTTGGTTATTTACGAGATTGTCATCCACGTTCTTTACCTTATAAATAGGGATTGTTTTGGATTGCTAAACATCAGATTAACAGAAAAGAGATTCTAATCAAGAGATTATGGTTTAGAGAGAATAGGGATATTGTTGTTTATTCTAGAGAGATTGTGAGTGAGATATTTTGTAATCTTCTATTCTTCATAATCTAGAAAATGTATTTTCCTTCGCCAATTGAATTGTCTTGTGTGTTTTGCTGTTTTCTTCTCAAACCCACTTTTGATAATTCCGCGATCAAAGGTGCTCACACGGCGACTCGTATCAGTAATTTTGAATCATGTCTCTACAATTTCCTATTAATTTAACAATTCATGATATAGACTAGAGTATACTTAACTAAACGATGAAAAATATTAAGGGTTTATTAGAATTATGGACATACAATTACCTATAAATTCCATGAGTAATCAACTGATGATCTTGATCATAGTACACTCTAATATTATGCGTGAAGGATCGACGAGCCGTCACAATAGCAGCTTTCCTAACGATCTCACCAAATGAAATCATCAAAACACCAATGCCACTGATCCACCAGTGCTCCTTCAATCCTGGAAACAGAACCGCCTCTGACAAGTACTCCAACAAAGCGCAAGCCATGGCGATCCCATACTGCTTACTGATCAAAAGCGCTGCAAAATGCCCCAAAGCCAAACATTTAACAACAAGTTCCAAAATTTTACAAGATTCAAAGTACTTACAGCTGAGGGCGACGTTGGATCGGCCGTGGAAGAAAACCGCAAGGGCGTACTCGGATCCATGGAAGAAGAGGATCGCGGCGAGGAATTGGGAGAGACGAAGGATGGAGGTGGGACTCATGGTCGTATCCGTCGCGATTAGCAGAGATCTGATTGTGTTTCCGGCGATCTCGGCTGCGATTTTAGGGTTTCAGTATTTAGGGTTTAGTTGGAGCGGTATCAAAATCTCCAAAAGGGACCACCCGCGGGTGGGACACATGGTTAGCAGAGCATCATGGGTGAGGTGGACTCCCTAGGTCGTTGCGCCCTGTCGTCATGTGTTTGAATCTTCGCGCTGTGTCACCTGTCTCTTTAGGCTTGTGTGGTTGAGGAGACCCGGGGTTTTACTGGACAATCAACTCAACCAGTCGTATGCACACCGGTTCGAATCCTCTGGGCTAGCCCTGTATACCCAATAGAGGGTGGGAGAGCCCCCTGAATGAGAGCAGGGTGGTGCTCGTGCAGGTGTGCGAGCTGGAGGATTCGAACTACGAAGCTGGCAGACTCAAAGAGTTTAAAGTTGAGCGGGCTGGGCATGTTTCCCTTGTACCAAAAAAAGGGAAAATTTAAAAAAATAGTCCGTTTTTGCTAATTATTTAGCAAAATAGACCGTTTTGCTAAATAATTAGCAAAATAGACTTCTTTTTGGCCAACAGGCCAAAAAGAGGTCTATTTTGCAAAACAGCTCAGAAAACATACGGGACTAGTAGTCCCGTATGTTTTAATCACGGATTAGTGAACTCAGAAAATTTCACAAAACATTAAGATGAACTCAGAAAACATACGGGACTACTAGTCCCGTATGTTTTCTGGGTCACTAATCCGTGATTAAGTTGGTTCTAAACATACGGGACTAGTAGTCCCGTATGTTTTCTAAGTCTTGTTTTTCAAAATCGACCTTTTTTTTTCTTCAAAAGAGGTCTATTTTTCTAATTATTTAGCAAAACGGTCTTTTTTGTTAAATAATTAGCAAAAACAGACTATTTTGCAAATTTTCCCCAAAAAATCCCCAAAAGAGATAATTTTTACGAGGGTTGCCCATTACAAAGCGAATCCATCCGCACCCGCATCATTACCCAACCCCTCTTTTGTTTTAATGCAAAACTTCATTATAGATCCTTAGGCCTGGTGTGGGCAGAACGAGTGGGAACGGAATGCAATTTTAACTTTTTGTTGATGCTTATCAAATATAATGAGTTTTTGGAATACTAAAAATATCATTTTTACTTCTCATCAATTTTCACTTATGGCCTGTTTGGATGGAGGGTAGAGAATGTTGCGTGCAACAGAAATTTCGGCAGCACTTCGGCAGCACAACAAGAAAGTCAGATCGCAATAAGAATTCCCGTCTAACCAAGGAAATAAGAATCTGAAGCGAATATCTCAACAAAGTGAGATATCGGCTCTTCCTCTCATCAGTTCTAGGACTGACCTGTCGAGGGATCCTAAAAAGCTATTAACAGCAGCCGCTGCCTGCGCTTTTCTCCTGCAGCCACACAAAAACCAAAAACTCTTTTCCCTTTTTCACCGCAACCGCAAGTCAAAAAAAATCCCTGTCCGCAGCCTTTTCCCGCAGCCGTAAACCTCACACGCCCAAAAACAAGAGATCACAACGTTGTTATTTATATAACAAATATTGGGTGGGCCGGCCTTGATGTGTTTTCGCGTGGGCTTGTGCTTCATGCGGTTTGAAACCGCGTTCCCCTACTCACGTGATCACAATTCTCCACATCGGTGAAGTTTTCCTAAAACTGAGCCGACACCAAAGCAATCAAATGTCCCACGTGTTGACTCAATTCATGATAAGTCGAGAACCCAAATGAGAGTCCAAACAATCTCACCCCCATCAAAATCAACTAATCCAAACCGGCTGCATCGTAAAGACTGCCTACGTATCCTCTTGCCCAAGGAATCAAGTCGAACGTAGCTCACCCAAATGGCCGCCAATGGCCTCAACAATCACGAATGTGCAACAAGTTTCAACAATGATCAAATTTGTTACTCGGAACCACCTTAGTGAGCATATCTGCCGGATTATCCTTCGTGTGGACCTTCACAATCTCCACATCGCCATCTTCAAGAACATCCCGAATGAAGTGATAACGGATGTCAATGTGCTTCGTCCGCGCATGAAAAACCTGATTCTTCGCCAAATAGATAGCACTCATGCTATCACAATGAATAGTGACGGACCTCTGCGATATACCAAGTTCCTCCAAAAGTCATCGAAGCCAAATAGCCTCCTTCACAGCCTCTGTAACTGCCATATACTCTGCCTCCATCGTAGACAAAGCCACCGTCGACTGTAAGGTGCTTCTCTAACACACCGGTGCATGGGTCAAAGTAAACACATACCCCATCGTAGACCGGTGCTTATCCAAATCCCTGGCATAATTCGAATCAACATAGCTAATGCACAACTACTCACCTGTAGTGTCCTGCTCATAAAGCAAACCAACATTGAGCGTACCTCGAATGTACCTCAAAATCCATCTCACGGCGTCCCAATGACCTACTCTTGGATCATGCATGTATCTCGAAACCATGCTCACCGCCTGTGACAAATCTGGCCTCGTACATACCATCGCGTACATCAAGCTCCTAACCACGCTCGCATATGGAGTCTTCGACATCAACTCTCGATCTTCAACTGACTTTGGTGAAAGACCAGCTGAAAGTTTTAAATGGGCTCCCAAAGGTACACCAACTGGCTTCGTATCCATGCTAACATAGAATCGCTGTAGAACCTTCTTCAAATAAGCCACCTGTGTCAAACAAATTCTGCCCTTCTTCTTGTCTCTGCCAATCTCCATTCCTAAAATGCGTTTGGCCTCACCCAAGTCCTTCATCTCAAACTCATTTGAAAGCTGAATTTTCAACTCATCTATAGCCGACCTGGAAATAGAGGCAACCAACATGTCATCGACATAGAGCAACAAATAGATGTACGCACCTCCTTTTAACTTGCAAAAATATACGTAAGGATCAAACTGGCTCCGAACGTACGAATGACCAATCATAAAACCATCAAATCGCCTATACCACTATCGAGGAGACTGCTTCAAACCGTATAGCAATTTTTTCAACCTGCAAACCAACTTATCTTTTCCTGCAGCTCGGAATCCCAATGGATGAGTCATATATATTTCTTTATCAAGATCACCATGAAGAAATGTCGTCTTCACATCCAACTGATCTAACTCTAATCCATACTGTGCCACCAAAGCTAGCAGAATCCGAATCGAAGAATGCTTCACAACCGGAGAGAAAACCTCATTATAGTCAATACCTTCCCCCTGTGCATAGCTCTTCGCAACCAACCTAACTTTGAACCTCAATGGATTGCCCTTAATGCCCTCCTTCTTCGTGTACGCCCACTTGCACCCAATCGCCTTCCGCCCCTTTGGAAGCTCAACAAGCTCCCATGTATCGTTCTTATGAAGAGACTCCATCTCTTCCTGCATAGCTACCTACCACGAATCAACATCCGAACTCTGCTCGGCCTCTCTGAAAGTAGTAGGTATCATCTCATCGATACTCTCCACCGGAAGTGCATATGTAACTGTGTCGGCATACCGTGCTGGTACCCGTATGTCTCTCCTCTGTCTCCGAACCACAATAGAATCCTAAACCTGAGCCGTCGGTCCCTGATCCTGTACATGAGTACCCGTATCCTCCGCATCACCATCGTGCTCGCCTGGCGTCACCTCAGTCGGCACTCTAATAGATACTGCACCATCTGGATACTATGGAGTTGCATCAATCTCCACCACCTGCGATATCTCTTTTGTCGGGTCACTCTCCACATGATGAGAGCTGGGAAGCTTTAAGATAGAAGCCTTATCAAATGTGACGTCCCTACTCAGTATAATCTTCTTATCAACTGGATCCCAAAGCTTGTATCCCTTGACACCACGCTTGAATCCTACAAATAAGGCCTTCCTAGCTCGAGGTTCCAACTTATCAGTTCTAACATGATAATATGCAGGGCATCCAAATACCTTAAGCTGGTCATAGTCATGTGCTGTCTCTCCCGACCACATCTCCATAGGGGTCTTCCCCTGTCATGTGCTGTCTCTCCCGACCACATCTCCATAGGGGTCTTCCCCTCAATCACAGATGAAGGCAGCCTATTAATGAGGTGGCTCACATCTCCATAGGGGTCTTCCCCTCAATCACAGATGAAGGCAGCCTATTAATGAGGTGGCTCGCATATAAAAGTGCATCAGCCCAAAAGATCTTCTCCAAACTATTATACGCTAATAAACATCGAATCTTCTCCAGCAAAGACCGATTTAACCTCTCTGCCATCCCATTCTGCTGCGGTGTATGACTAATTGTGAAGTGCCTCTCTATGCTCTCGTCTCGACATAGCTGCTGAAAGGGGTCTGAAGTATACTCACCGTCGTTGTCGGATCGCAACGTCTTGATCTTTCTCCCAGTCTGTAGTTCTAATCTTTTCTTCCACTTCATAAATATATCTAGGACTTCACTCTTCTTTGTTATGGTGTACACCTAACAACACCTAGAATAGTCATCAACAAATGTGACGAATCAATGTCGACTACCAAGTGATGCAGTCTTGGTGGGACCCCAAACATCTGTGTACACGTAGTCCAAGATGCCCCTCGTCCTATGAATGGCCGTCCTGAACTTCACCTTCGTCTTCTTGCCAAGAACACAATGCTCACAGAATTCCACTTTACCACTCTTGGCTCCCTTCAATAGCCCCTGCTTGCACAAAGCCTGCAGTGACTTCTCTCCTGTGTGCCCTAACCTGTAATGCCAAAGCCTACTTATGTCCGCCTCTGAAGTAGCCGAAGCAACCTGGCCAATCTTGATGCTCCCCTTCAAATAGTATAAATTTCGACTGCGGACTCCCTTCATCACCACCAAAGATCCCTTAGTAACCTTCGCTACAGCGTTCTCAAAGGTCACCTTGAATCCCTTAACCTCCAAAGCTCCAACTGAGATAAGATTCTTCTTTAGTTGAGGAACGAATCTCACCTCCTTTAACTCACAGACTACTCCATCGTGTATCCGAATACTCACAGTACCTATCCCACAAATGCCACATGATTAATCATTTTCCATGTCAACAATACCCCCGTCGAGTCTCTCAAACGATGAAAACCAATCTCGCCTAGGAGTCACATGATAAGTAGCGCCAGAATCAAGCATCCAATCCGATGCATCCAAATGGTTCACCTCCAGAGTAATCAAAAGAGAAAAGCTCGAATCATCGCCTTTCACAACTGTAGGCTGTCTAAAAATCACAATAGATAGC